ACCTATTGGCCAACGTCCTGACCAATGAACGCAACTAACTGTGATGTAGTAAGTACGACAGGAAGCTGGTGGGGGAGTGTAAACAAACAGCTTGTCGGCAAAGGGCGGATTATACTTCTACAACTGCACACACATCTTCCAGCCGTGATGTCACGGTGCAGTAAGCCTGAAAAAAGTAAAAAAAATTTGTTATTTCACCTGTCTGATTCATGATCTAACACGGACGGGTTCGTCGTTAGATTGCCAACTTAAAGAGGGAGGATTTGCCTTCAAACTTCTGGCCAGAGGAAAAAAACACACAAAACAACAACATTTCGAAAAAGAATGTTTTCAAGATGACTTGGATAATAGCACGTTGTTACAAACACCAGATAATGCATTTTACGTCACAAACCGGTAGCTGGTAGTAGTGTTCTTTGACAAACATGGATGTGTTCATTGAAGCACTTTCAAATGAATGATTTATTGACCATTCTGTAATAATTTCATATTTAAAGTACTTTCAGAATTTTTATTTCTGAATATGACTGGACTTTTTCTTTAAGGAAGAGAGCAGGCTGAACCCTTAGTTGGTGTTGGATTTCTTCTCAACTTTTGTGGTTTATTTGGTGAAATTGGGAAATGTTATCACAATTACTTCTAGATGCAAATCACTTCTTTGTCCCACGATGGGAAAAATTCACTGTCTGCATTTGACCCATCCCCTTGGGGAGCAGTGGGCTGCCATTGTGTGGTGACCAGGGAGCATTGTAGGGTTAAGGGTTTTGCTCGGGAACCCAGAGTGCAGGCTGGGGGGTCAAACTGGGTAATTGCAACCTTCTCTAACCACTAGGCATATACTCCCCGTGTATAGAGTCGACTTTGGTACTAAACTTGATATGGATGTAAAGATTGCCACTCTAAACTATATTTTTATTTATTTATTTATTTTTAAGTGAAAAAAAAATTGTCATTTGTTTCGTTGAAGTATGTTTTCATGTCAGTAACATGCAGCTGAATTAATCTGAATTTGGTGTTTAGACCATAATCCACCTTAGTTAGCATCTGGATACAGCAACTACACTCCAGATCAGACACAGCTAAAACTTTTAATGAGATTTGATAGAAAATGTTTATA